AAAAAAGCCCAGTTGTCAGTTTGGACGATTGGGCCATCGACTCCCTTTCCGTCTGGGGAAATTAGCCTGATGACTCCCCAAGGAAAAAAAAAATAATCAAGAAAATTAAGGATCAAATTTGGGGGTGCCCGACTCCCCCCTTTTAAGCGGACGACTCCCAAATTTTCAATTAAAAAAAAACAAAAAATCGCCTGTGGAATTAGGCTGGCCGACTCCCGGGAATTGGAAGAACGACTCCCGTCCGACAACCTCCCGACCAAAAACGGGAGTCGTCAAACTAAAATTTGGGGAGTCATTTTTCCAAGCCCCCTTCTCATAATCAATTCTTTCCCAAACTGTGATTCGATAAGCTTGATCAGAATGAATAAGGATCTGAGCTTCCATTCTTTTCCTTGGATGTTTGGCTGGTCTCCAACTAGGACCAAAACAGATAGGATATACCGGATTTAGAGATCGTTCGTTTGTACTCGGGTAGCTGTTGGTACCTAGGTACCTGTTGAATTTTTTCAGAAAATAGGTACCAAGTACCGCACCAGGCACCTCCCGGAGGGTACCGGCGGTACTTTTGGCAGGTACTGCGGGTACCTCCCCTCTCTTCCTCACTTAGTTTGACTGCAAGGTTCATTACAATCCTTTTGCATCTTGGTTGAGTTCTTTTTGGTGGATTTTTTGTGAAAAAAAGTAAGAAAAAAAAAGAAAAAAACAGAAAAAACAGAAATACAGCAGTTCCCAGAAAGCTTGTGTTCGCGAGCTCCTGGGATCTGATTATTTTTTTATTTTCTTTCCACCTTTTTTTGCGCCTCGTAATCTGTACAGATGACTGTACAGGTTGCGAATGTGCTGCCGAGGCCGGGTGAGGCCTCCGGGCACCTGTCAGTTGCCTGGTGGGGGCCGGGGTCAACCTGATGTTGCAATTGCTTCAGACTTCAAAAAAGGAGAGGAATCCAATGGTCCAATCCCACATCTGCAACTTGGAAAAATGGGGGAGTTGGCCCCTGAGGCCTGGAATATTATGGCTGTACGAGGCCACGTCCAGGACAGGAAAACAAAGAAAAAATGTGGCACAAATAAAAAAAAAATTGGAATCCCAGGAGCTCGCAACAGCAAGCTTTCTGGGAACTGCTGTAAAAAAAAGAAGAAAAAAGAAAAAAGAAAAAAGAAAAAAGAAAAAAGAAAAAAGAAAAAAGAAAAAAGAAAAAAGAAAAAAGAAAAAAGAAAAAAGAAAAAAGAAAAAAGAAAAAAGAAAAAAGAAAAGCAAAAAAAAAGAAAAAGAAAGAAAGAAAAAAAAAAAGAAAGAAAGAAATGGCCTTGAGGCTGGGGGGGAACCCAGCGTCCCGGCCAGGTTGACCGGAAGGGTTTCCTTCCGGTCAAAGAGGACGTACCTCATTGATCGGAAGGAAACCCTTCCAATCAAAGAGGTAGATGTACTTCCTGATCGGAAAGGTTTCCTCCGATCCACGAGGTACATCCCTTGTTGACCGAAAGGAAACCTCCCGGTCAAAGAGGTTGATGTACCTCCCTGACCAGAGGGGGTTTCCTTCCGGTCAACGAGGTACATGTACCTCATCAACCGGAAGGAAACCCTTCCAATCAATGAGGTACATCAACCTCATTGACCGGAAGGAAACTCTTCCGGTCAAGACTCAATGTGGGGGTGTACCCGGGTACCGCTTTGCCAAAAAACCTGCACCCCGCACCGCCTGGCGGGTGCGAGGCGGGTGTGGGCGGTACCCGCCAAGCAGTACTAGGTACCTAGCAACGAGTACCGACGAACGATCTCTAACCGGATTGTTCTTTCCATTTCATCAAACTCAACCGTTGTGGTAAGCCAATCCTGATCCTCAAGGCACAGAATAACTACATATCACACAGGAATCACAGACTCAAGACCCCTCAGGAATTCCCCCAGGCCCTCAAACAAATCCAACAACCCAGTTATCCACACCATTGCCCCCCTCATGGGTAAAGACATCTTCCACACCTCTGAAACACCTCAAATGAAACCCATGGCCAAATTCCTAGTTCACTCTTGATAAGGCTTAGCTCACACACCAATTACACACTAGTACCCCTTCTCAATATAACCTCAAACTCCTCTAAAGAATATTTCTTATCTCTTATCTCCTTCCATCTCATGCCAAGAATTCCCACACAACAGTTACGTTTCATACTAGTCCTCTTTTGGCCCTTTCTTCTCATTGGCTGTTCAATCCCCATCTGGGAGAAATAATTACCCCCACCTCTTCCCCTTGATATTATTAGCCAAGCCTCTCTCTGTTTCACATTTAATTCATTATCTTATCTTAGCTTGGCTCTTTCTTTGGTTTCAGTCTAGCCTTATCTTATCTTAGTGCCACACTAAATAAGGCCACATTGTTCATAGTTCAATTTTCTTCCTTGTTCATTCTTTGTTCCATTTTGTTCCATCCATCTTCCAACCACAAATTGGCCACTCCCCAGATTTTGTATATAAGGAGCTTTGTTTTTCCTCTTCATCTGTTCCATCATCAGAGCCTGCCCCAGCAATTCAGATAACTGATCACCCACTATTAGCCAGGTATTTGCCCATCAACATTTGGGATACCTTGATTTGTGACAAGTTTATTTAGACTAGTAACCATAAGAAATATTAGACATACCATCCTCAAGAAATCTCCACAGCCACACCTTTTTCCTTAAGAGTCCATACTCTTATATTTTCTTGTTATCAGAGAGGCAGCCCATTAAAGCATCCATCCCTCTCAAGCTCTATTCCTCCCAAGAGTAGTTCCACAAGTGGTGTCCCAACAGTGGCCCAGCAGATCTTTTGGTTTCAGTCACTACCACTTATAGTTTCTATGCTAAATATACAGTCACAGATTAGCTAGTTACTACCATCCATTTTTTTTAGAATTTACATACCTTATTATTCCCTGCAGAAATCTTCATTGGTAAATCTGCATTAACAACATATCATTAGATCATCAGCAAAAATTATCATAACAGTAGAAAACTTAACAAAACCTCTTACCATGGAAAACCAACCTAGAAGAAACCCCCTTTCTGGACCTACAGTAAACATGGCCAATTTGGTCATCCCAGCTTGGAGAGGACAAGTCTTACCCCCTCAACTACCCCCTCACCAGTACTATAACCCTGGAACCACATTCTACCAACCTCTTCCTGCCCATAATCCAGCCTTTAACCCTGGACCAATGAGACATCCCCAACCCTCAGAAAGTGACAACCTGGAACATTTGGAAATTCAAGAACCCCTTTACCACCACAGGAAAGAAATTCAGGATACAGGACCACCAGGGCCAGAAAAGAATACTCCAACTCAGCCAACTCACCCTCTGGAACCCAATAAATCAACCCCCATCCACTTTCTGGAAAGAGCAGAAAAATTGCGCATTATCTACAGACCCAAAGATGGAATGCCTTTCACCAAGGAGGAATATGCTAGAAAGGATTTTCAATGTTTGGTCAGCTCCACTATAGGAATGGGAGGAATAAAAAATCCAGAACAACTCAGACTATTCAGAATCCAATTTGAAGCAATCACCCACTACCTCATCAGAAATGGTCACAATTTCCACATGGATGAATTTTCAAACTACCTTTGGAGAGTCCCTCAGCCCAAAGTTGGAAATGTTAATATCTGATCCACTTATCTGGGATGGTCACTTGGTTCTGGATGGAAATTTTCACATTGCAGAAATACCACCCTATACTGTAATTCTGGAATATATTTATATGGAGTTTGAACAAATGGATTTTCTTCAAGAACCTGATCAACCTGCACAAGAAATTGGACAAAACAACCAGAATAAATTCCCTCAAGGGCCCATGGAAGATTTTAACTCAGAAATCCAGTTACCACTCACAGAAAATTTCCCCCCAATACTTTCTTCAACCTTGGATGACTTTCCCCTGACCTTAGAAAATGGCCAATCTCTGGAAACCTTGGAACCCTTGGACAACACAGAGACAAAAAAATTTGGATCAGAAACAGAAGTCATTTCAGCAAAAATTCCCTCAGAAATATCCTTACCATGTGCCATGCTTGAAGAAAATTGCTCCCCAGTAGCACCTGTAACCTTGGAATTTCCTCCCCAGATCCTTGAAATTTGCAAGAAGTTGGACCCCTTGGATAGAAATCAATCAGTATATCTTGGATCAGAGAGTGAAACATGTGCAGAAAATATAAATAACTTACCAGTAGGACCAGTCAATTTGGAATCTTCCCCTCAGCTCATTGCTAATGACCAACCACTGGAAACTCTGGAACCCTGGAGCAATACTGAAGCAGAATACCTTGGATCAGAAAGTTCAATTTTTGCAGAACCCATTTCCCCAGAGGAAACTTTTCCAGTATACCAAGTTGAAAAGACACCAGTTAATCCTATTCCTGAATTGCAAAACTCCCTGACAACCCTGGTGGAAGAGAAAAATGAGGAGAAATTTGGTCAGAATATCAAACCAGAGGATTTATCAGCCTTGGATTCAGTACAGTCAATTCAGTACCCCACAATAAATTCCACAGTATTTTTACCTGAAGGAATTGGGACTCCAAATATAACCAGATCAGAAACTAAAGAAAAGTTGCTTCCAGAAAGTTATTCCCAAACAGATTCAAATTGCTTCAATATCCATGGATCTGAATTACCCTCATTGGAAAAAGCAGAACAAATAAATTCATCAAGAGAAATGTTGGATAATTATATCTTTCAGAAGGACCCTGGTGAAACAACAGAGAAATTTTTTGAATTAGTAATTGGCATGAAAAATCCACCAGAGTATTTTTCACTTTCAACTCACCAATCACCATCTCCCCACCAACAGAATTTCCCACCCTTCAAGCCCCCTGATATCAGTCAAACTCCTCTCCACCCCTGCATGGCTGGCCCTGAAAATTTTGGATCAAGAAAATCTGTACAGCTCATCAAGCAAAGGATAAAGCCAAAGGATCAGATAAACCCTCTGAAATCCTTTGTGGGTTGGCATACTGAACTCAAGACTCAACCTGAACCTAAAACAAAAAGGAAGAAGAGCCAAGGTAGATTTGGTCTGGCATTTAGACAATCTGAACTCACACCATCATCTGGTGTCTTTGTGACCCAGCTACACACCATCGATGTTGAATTAAACAGTCTTGCTTTGCTCGCTTTGGTTAGAAGGTGTAGCTATAAGATTATTCTTCCTGTCAGGATAGCAGGATACACACCATCGATCCACCCTGATTTGCCTAAACTGGATACTATAGGCATTGAACCGACCAGTTTTTCATCGCTGAGACTTGCTTGTTTGGTTCGGAATGATAGCAGAAACTGGAAGAAGAGTTGTATCAGCAAGTATTCGCGCTGGATAGGTCAGAAAAGCAAGAGAAGAAAGCAACCAATCTTCCAAAATTACATGCTGGACCATCTTGATTCCAGTCAGGCTTTCGCAAGCAAGACAGCAGCTTCAGTATGCTTAGATCGCTGGAATGATGTAGCAAGAAAAATAGTGAATCGACGATTGATTTCTCTGATAGACAGCTATAATGAGAGATGGATCAAAGTGATAAAATTCAAACGTACTGGGGTCTTGAAGCGTTTAGAGGCCAAAGGAAGAGATATCAACGAGGACCGATCAGATTTTCCAACTAGCAACTTGCAGAGACTCATTAGAAGTTGTATATCACAGAAAGGAAGCAGCAAAACTTACAAAGGACAGTTTGGTAGATCGTTTGACCCAGGAATCGACCAAGCTTTATATTCTCCTGTTCAATTCAAGCGAGCTCTTTTAGGCGCCTCTGGAAGCCAACTACACAAACATTTGATCATGATTGAACTGACAACATCGAAACATTCGGGATTCATAGCAACATGTTCAAAGCCAGTCTCAATGGCTGCTACATCCAGGAATTTAGAGGAGCCCGACTGCTCGAATGTATCTCTATTGCCGAAACCAGGTGGCTTGTTCTCATGGAATCGTGCGGAGGAGGCTTCCAACTTGTCCGATTGCCACCTCATCACCAATTGCAACCCCAATACTGGTAATGGAAACAGGGGATCTCAACTAGATGATAGCAAGGCCTGTTTCACATCTGGAATACTTTTCAAATCCAATACTCCTCCAATCTGTTTCAACCTGGATTCAGGTTGATTTTCTTGCAGGAAGGACTACATATCCCTCAATCTCAAAACATAAACAGAAGAAATATACATTCAAGACATCTGACATGGAAGAAAAATGGAAACAAGAATTTGTATTTATCAATAGAAAGATTTACAAGAAAGGGAAGAGAAGAGAAGAGACTTATTTTTTACTGAATACAGGCTATCTGACTCATCCTGTGAATCCTGAATCACCCTCAAATTTCAAAATTTGGGGG